GCCATTGCGGCCGATGGAATTAGAACCGTAAACTTTTACAACAACAAGTGGAGAACGCCCGCCCGCCCGCCCTAACGCGGAGCCACCCCCTCAACGCCGACGGCTTTCTCGAGCCCACTTGCTAAACCGCCGCCTCCGAGCCATCTCGCATTCAGCCCCAGGGGATTTTGGATTGTGCACAAGTGTTTACGTGATCCACCAACCCCTGGCTCCAAAAGCGCTAGACCAGAAAGCACGCATCGCCACTACGGTCGGATGAATTTGACGCTTTACAGCAGTGCTTCTTCACCTGGGATGCGAGATGCCCTTTCTGGGGGTGTGAGACATGCCAGATTTTTTGAAGGTTAATAATCGAAAAACAAATTAATCACGGGCATGTAAGTACAACTACTATATTCTTGGTTCTTTCGGTAAAGTCACGTAGAAGGGAAACAATAAAATAATAAAAAGATAAAAACTATTTTTATTATTTTATTGTTCTTTCGGTAAAGTCACGTAGAAGGGAAACAATAAAATAATAAAAAGAAAAAACATTTTTTATTATTTTATTGTTTCCCTTCTACGTGACTTTATCGAAAGAACCAAGAATATGAATCCCTGCAGTCACGAAAGCTTTAAATCAAAATACAACTACTATGTTTCATCAAACACACGTATGTGTTTATTCACATTGTAAAAAAATGTAACGATTGAAAACCAAAGGGGGTTGGCAAAGCTGCAGTAAAGGTGAAGAACCACCGGTTCACAATGAGCCGCGCTGACGTCACGGTGCAATGAGCAATCAAGGAATGGCAGTGAAGCAAAATGGAGATGTCCTCGTCTGTTGCAGATTGTCACACGGACTCGTCATCCTGTCTCGTTAGCTTAACAGCGTTTGTGGCTCACTCGCTTTCTTGTACTCTGAGCCGCAGGCACTTGAATTGCAATACCGCCAACGGTGAGACATTAATTGCTGGCAAAGCACTCTCAATGCACAGCACGAACACAAAGGCGCACTCACACACATTCAAACACATACTCGAACACAAAGACCACCCGTATAACCTCAAGACTGTTGGGACACGTGCTGTTAGCGAGCACCTATTATGGCCGGCACGTCACACACGAGGGGGTGGGTGGCTAGAACTACGCCGGACGCTTTTGTCTTCCTAGTGAGATATAACAAAGGCAAAGATACCCAGTATAGCCTTAACAGATTGTAAGGGCAAATGCTGTTAGCGAGCACCTATGAAGGCCGGCATGGCACACGAGGGGATGGGTGGCCAACAACACGCCCGGTCGCCTGTCTCCTTAGTGGCGATATTTACACATCGCACCAGGTACTCATTTGAGGCTGAGTCGACATATGCATATAACAACCGCCATTCCCCACTAAGTGACGGTGACGTCACCACGACGCTTGTGCCAGGCTATGTGCACCCTGAGGCCACGTGAACTGTCGAACGCCCGCCGGCAGGTCACGGGGCAGACCCGAATGCCACAGGTCGACTGACTGAGACGACTAGCTTATGCACCACCTGTGCCCCCTACTGTGCCAACTTGCTGTGGTTTACCCACCCGGGGCTCCGCTCGTTGTTGTGAGCGTTGCTCCTCCGCCCTCCATTGTTGGAGGGCGACTGCCTCTAACTGCCCAGTAGCGTCCTTCACGAGCCTCCTCCACAGAGGTCGATCTTGACACCGCTGGTACCAGTCATCGGCAAGTCCACTCAGCTCCTCATCCTCCTGTACCACATCACTCCATCTCTTCTCTCGCCCGTACCGCGCCCGTTTAGCCCCCGCGATCCGGCTGAACAAAAGCTGTTTAGGCATGCGGTGGCTGGGCATGTGGGCTACATGACGCAGCCAACGCAGCCTTGCCTGCCGGAGGAGCTCACTGATGGGGCTTTGTCCACATCTTTCAAGGATTTGTGAGCTCCTCACACAATTCAACCTGGTTAAACCCAGGATGGATCGTAGGCAGGCCAACCTAAATGTTTCTAACCGGCAAAGATGTTCCATTAGAGGGGTCCACGTTTCGCAAGCGTAGAGAAGGGAGGGAATGACTGTGGCCGAGAAGACCTGAAGCTTCGTGCGGAGCGATCGACCAGGTAGCTTCCACACAGCGTTACGCAACCGATTAAAAGATAATGCCGCTTGACTGATTCGGAGTGAGACCTCTGCTGTTAAACCGGAGCCGGTCATGAGCACACTGCCCAGGTATGGGAAACTCTCCACTCTCTCCACAACTGCCCCATCACCGATTGAGAGTTGTGGGGGAGGAGTGTCCGATGGTACAAAATACCCAGGCAGGTGCTTAGTTTTGGTGGGGCTCATGGTAAGGCCCCACCTCTTAGTGGCACACTCCAGTTTCAGCAGCAGCGCCTCCAACTCCTCCTCTGAACAGCGTGTTGGTAATTACAAGCCCATGGGCTGCACAAAATCTAGCAGCCTCCTACCATTGTTATTGATCTGGCCCATGCCTTCAATCACTCCAGACCAAGTGCCAGCATCATGACCAACTCGGGCATTGAAGTCACCCAACAAGATGACTCTATCCTGAGGGGCCACTTTAGCCAGCACCTGTGGCAGGAGGTCATAGAAGGCATCTGACTCATCGGCTTTGCCTGCATCCCTCCACGGATGTTCGTCTTCGGTGGGGGTATAAGTAACCACGACCACCACTCCTCGCCTCCGATTGATGGGAAGGCGAGCCCAAAGTAGCCTGGGGCTTACAGCTTCCCACACCTCACCGTCACGCTCCCACATCCCCTTCATTCTTTTGTTCAGAAGAAGAGTCACTCCCTGTTGTTTGGCAGTCTCCTGCCCCGAGTAGAGGACTGTCCGGCACCTCCTGAGATCCAGGCGGTACCGGTCCAGCTCCCAACAGAGGAGTGGCAGCCTCTCCGCAGTGAGCGTTCGAACATTCCACGTCATAGACGCCCGTCCCCCTGGAGCCTCCGGAACAAGCTTATTATAATACAAAGACAAAGATCCCCCATATAGCCTGTAACAGACTGTAGGGGCAAGTGCTGTTAGCGAGCACCTATGAAGGCCAGAACGGTACACGAGGGGGTGGGTGGCCAGCACCACGCCCGACCGCCTTTGTCTCCCTAGTGGCGATGTTTACACACCGCACCAGGTACTCATTTGAGGCTGAGTCGACCTAGGGGAGGCCCGGGACCGGTTCACATAATCGTCACTGGTGTTGGCCGTGAGCGGGAATCGAACCCGGGTCGCCAGGTTCATAGCGCAGCGCGCTAACCGCTACACTATCGCTCCCCACCATTATTATAATACACACACTCACAAACACGCACATAAATACACGCGCTGAAACCTACATAACTCCAGCACCTGCACCAGATGATATAATAACTGGAAAAAACAGGGCCAAGTGTTAAAACAACTGCCGCGCATGCATATTATTATATAGATATCACCATAGCGGTACATCTTTGCTCAACTTCGATGAGCATTGCTTTGTATTTGCTGAAGTCAAAATAGTATCTTAATTAAGTAAAATTATTTATTGTAAAGTCAATACGGCTCTTTAAAATGTTGTACTTTCAATTGCTCAGTTATGCTTTAATCAATGATGCGATGATATTCACGATACGGCTCCTACCGAATTCACCTTTATATAAATTGGCTTTATTTAAAAATAAATTTCCACACGCACGTGTATACTCACACACAAACTGACAAAAGCCCCCCCCCCCCTTGTTAGTGAGCGCATATTCACGGCGGTACGGTGCACGAGAAGCTGATGGTGCGGTAAAAACCCCGCCCGACCGCCTTTGTCTCCTCAATCCTGATATTTGCACATATACTAATGTGCAAATGTTAATTTAAGGGAAATCTCCATAACCGGTTTGAGGTGAGTCCCACGACTGTTTCAGATGATCACCAGATGTTAGCTGCGACCGGGAATCGAACTCGTGGTGTTGGGTTCGGAGCGCTGCCACTCACCACACCACTCACCACTCCTCTACCGCACTTGTCCCCATCGGCATTCCACTGTGCGTCTGTAAGAGCGAGCACGGATTTACTGATTAACGTCAAACAAAAGGCCCCGTGCGAGCGTCACGGTTGGGTGAGACATATGACCATGTGTGCCTGGTTGGTGTGTGTGTGTCCATGCAGGCAGCGAATTAAAGGCGGACGTGGCACGGGGGGTTGGGGGAAAGGGGTTAGGGTTTGAGGCGGGGTTTGTGGAAAGAAGATGGCCTGTAGGCAGGCGGGGATGGGGTGGAGGAGAAGTGGGGGGGATGAGTGGAGGGATGTTTGGTTGGTTGGCTGAATATTGTTGCGCGCTATTCCGATACAGCGACACACTTGAGCGTGCATCTTCTACGCGTGTGTGAGCGAGTCCGTCAGCTGCAGACGAGCATCAGTGTATGACGTGGGAGAGAGTGTGCAAGTTACAGATCGGTGTCTTTGTGTGGAAGCTGCACAAGTGTGAGTGGGGTGAGTGTGCAAGCTGTAGATGGGTGTGCGTCATTGCAGGCGTCTGCGTGTGGGGTGCAAGCTGCAGATGTGCGACAGTGTGCAAGCTTCAGAGGTATGCGTGTCTTAGGGGGAATCTGTGCCGAAGGACATTTTACGATGAACCCTGCCACAGCTGGCATCGCAAGTGATATAAAAACTCGTTCTGGGCCTCCTCCCCTAGGTCGTCTCAGTCTCACACAATTGCCTGGTGCGTTGTGCAAAATTAAGCACAGAGAAGACAAGCGGCCATGCGTGGTGATATACCATTCCCTCGTGAGAGCCGTGCCGGTCTTCTTAATCGGTGCTCGCTAACGGGACTTGCCCCCAAAAAGTCCGTAAAAGTGTGCAGGTGGGATCTTTTTTTTTCATGCAGCCTGCAGAGAAATGTGGGCTGTACGGGCCAGACGAACCGGGTGGGCAAAGCGTTGCTGCTACAGCCATCCCAGGCAACACCCCCCTCCATCTCTCACTCTCTCCCCGCCCTCCATCGCCCCCATCCCCTCCATCCACCCTCCTTCCTTTACCTCGCCTCTCTTACCCACCCCCATCACAACCTCCCTCCCCCTTTTCCCTCCGCTCGACGCGGCGCTTTGTTGCGCACTCACGCGACAGCCGCCTCCCACCACCACCCCCCCCCGACTCTCGCCCGCCAGCCCCATCCCGAACTCGGCGCGCCCCAAGCCGAGAGACGCAGGCGCACGCACGCGCGCACGCACGCGCGGAGACGGGGAGAGGGCGACAGAGGCAGACCTGGAAAGCAAGCGCCGAGCCGCCACGGCCAGGGCAGAGGAGCCGCGGCAAAAGCGAGGAGCCGACAGTCCGCTGGCAATGGAGGAGAAAGATGCTGGCCGCTCTGCCACGGGGAGCCGCGCCACTCGGCAAAGTGCCGCGTGGCGATGAACAGGTTGCGTGCGGGTGGCTCCGGACTGCTGAGCGAGCGAGCGGGCGGGCGAGCGGGCAGGACGAGCGAGGAGACGCAGGGCTGTCTGACGCCTTTTGTGTTGAGCTGTGATTGTGGCTCGCTGGCTGGCTGGTTCGTTGGGTGACTGGCTGGCTAGCTGGCTCATTGGGTGAGTTAGTGGCTTGAGGGTTGCCTCGGCTGCGCTGGGAGCTATTGCAGCAGCAGCAGCAGCATCGCGATGAAGGTGACCGTGTGTTTTGGACGGACCCGGGTGCTGGTGCCGTGCGGGGATGGTGACCTCACGGTGCACGCGCTCATCGGACAGGCCATCACGCGCTACCGCAGGGCCATCGGCAAGGTACAGACTCGCAGAGAGAGAGAGCGAAAGGCCGTGTCTTTACTGCACTGCTTAGCACGTACACACACACACAACGACACAATCTCTATCATGATACAACTTGCACGGATGCTTTGCAGCCTTGCTCCATCCATTTCGCCATCCATGCCGCATGCCTCTGGCTCTCTCGCCCGCTCCCTCCCGAGCTCTCTCCCTTTTCTCTCCGTCTCTTTATGGAACTCTTTGGTTCTTAATAATAAACAATAAATAATGTTATTTTTGTGTAAATTTTTCTACCTACGTGACTTTACCGAAAGAACCAAAGAGTATGGATTCCTGCAGTCAACGAAAGCTTCAAATCAATCTTTTCTGGAATATTTGACGTTTCGTTGTTATTGCTGTTGTTAGTTAGTTCCACACTGCACTTGCATATAATTAGCCGAGCAACAGAAACTTTTTTTTTTAAACTGCGTTAGGAGCATAGGCAGCGCGCCTGTGTTGGGATGTGACGAAAGTACTGGCGATGTTGATGCTGTTGCTGCTGATGATTATAACGACGTCGATGCTGCTCTCTCCTCTTAAGGATCGGCGCTCAACAAACATGGCGTTTGTGTGTGCACAGAGTTGCGTGGCATGAGCAATGTTTCGGATTGCCACCACCACTCTCCCATCACTCCATCATCACCTTCAGCCCCCCTCCATCAACTCTGAACTAAAACTATTCCTATGCAAACGTATGCTTGTGTAATGAAAGTACGCGGCGTGCATCCTCCAGAAACCGCACCGTCTTATCTGGCAGAAAACTGCACGAGACTTTTAATTCGCATGTGGGGTACATACATTGTTGACGGATGATCGTTTGTTACCCATTACTGTGGGGTGGCGAGGCTCGCTGGGTGAGTGAGTACCGGGAGACCGTGATAATGATTATTTTTGTTAGCACCACCCTTTGTAATAGTTACGCGTGTGTATTAATAGTCGAGGCCGCCCTCTATCGCTTTTTACATATTGCTGTACCTGGTTGCCTTGTCCGTCCCTTTTAATGGTTGTGTGATAAAGACGTGATAATGATGATGACTAAGTCACCTCTACAGATCTCGGAAGCTAAGCATTAGCGAGCCTGGATAGCGCTTGGATGAAAAAGATGTGCTGGGTTGCTGCAGGCCAACTTTTATCAGCAAGAGGGCAGTTGGGGCAGAAATCCATCGTTATACTCTGGGGCCGTCCATAAATGACGTCACGCACCTAGGGGGGGGGGGTCAGACATTTGTGACGATGTGTGACGAGGGGGGAGGGTGAGAAATGTGACGTCACATCAAAATGCGCAAACTTTAAATAAATATAGACAAAACGTTCCACTTAATTAAATATACTTTTAATAAATGTTTTCTCCTACAACATCAGAGTGCAGCGCCACATTAAATACGCACTACAATGACAATAGCTTAAAGTGATTTGAAGCATGTTTTATTTTAAAAAGGGAAATATTTTTTTTGGGGGGGCAGAGCTTTGTGACGTCATATTTGAGGGGGGGGGTCTGATTTTTTTGTGACGCCGTGTGACGACGGGGGGGGATCAAAAATCGTCCAAAATCGTGTGACGTCATTTATGGACGGCCCCTATTCATTTACTTATATGCTCCCCGCCTAGATAAAAACAAAAACCCGCACTGATCAGCGTGATGAAGTATGGTGAAATAAACACCACGACCTGCTCGGCGTGGGTGGGAGGCCCCCCTCTAGCCGTAGGTTGTCCATGATGATGGTGAACGATTGTAATCGCAGCATCCACTACGCCCGAGTACACGTGCCGTTTGCTCCAATGGCACTGAGATTCAGGCGGCAGTCTTCGCCCATGCATGCGTGAGTAATGTTTGTTCAAACTCGTATTTTGTAAGCGCCAGTAGGTGTTTTGTTGCTGTGTTGTTTGCAAACACGTATCATCATTGTGTTTGGCGTGGATTCTGAGCACGTGTGTGGCATGTTCACGCGTGTGTATGTGCGTGCACACAGATTTGTACTTGGGTTTGGTGAGCCCGTGTTGTGTATAGGTCTACATGTAATGGTTTATAGACGTCTGGTGTTTTGCTTTTCGGGTCAAAGGCACCACGGATTATTTAATACTGAAGCTTACCGAGCCCTCCTTGGAAATTTTGCGTCGTTGGGCATATATTGCTGTTGAGCCCCAATGTATAATAACTAAAAAAACATGCTGTTGTCTCCTTTGAGTCATGATAGTAGACAATAGTTATCAATAGTTTTCTTTCATTTAAAATAAATCAATAGTGAAAAATACAATTAATACTCCCTTCCCTCTGCCCTCAGTGCTGTCAATTTTCTGCTCCTGTTCAAATGCAGGTTTATTGAGACATGTTAGCCTGTGACCGACTCCTCAGCGCAAAATAAAAGTGCACGTTTTCTGTGCAGCATATTGTGATGCGGTCAATTTTCGAACCGAACTATATGACTCCACATTGTGCCGTACATTGTGTTCAAGGATCTGAACTACCTAAATAACTTGCAAGCAAATGCATTTTCCAGCGATTTAAACTTGTGCTCCGAATGCAATATCGTATTAACTTGTGCTGCATATACACGTGTAAACGTGTGTCCCATCTCGATGTTGGAATTATGACTCTATTTGTGGAGGGGGTGGTTATATCCGTGAGAAAAGGCCGCTGCCAAATACTTGCTTCGGTGCCACGTTACTCCGCAGATGCTCCCCAACATAGTTCTCATGTACATATGCATGCATTGTCAATCCACTGCTGGATGAGGGCTTCCCCACATCGTGCGGGTGGTAGGGGTTATTTGACTGTATTTAACCATTATGGTCCGTGTCAGTTGGTGAAGGTGGAGAACATACATTTGGGAGTGTCGAAGTACGGTACAACGATGTTTTCTAATGCACTACCCTCTTATTGACTACCACACTGCCCTATAACAAACGGTGTGTGCATGGTGATGGTGGTCACTCATACACGCACTGTCCAGGCTCAGATCTGCTGAACTTTTAAACTCTTTAAGCAACTCGGTGCATTCTGAGGGGGCTGAACAGATTGGGAGTCATGTTAAATACATACGATTTACTCTGAAGAACCGTCAGCGTGCTATTAGGATGTGTCACTGCTTAGCCTGTGAATTTGAATAATAGCCCACGTGGTGCTATGTAAACGGTGAAAACCAAATGAATACATCTCTACCGGCACTGACCTGCTGAGATGAAGGGCGCCGAATTGAATACAGTATTTATATAAACCAAGAAATGTTAAAGACAATAGTGCACGACACTTTGGATATGTATGGCAGCTCAATGCAACCGCTATCTCAAGGAAACAGTGGGCTTATTTAATTTGTAGAGAGCAAGAGAGGTAGTCGGTGATAGGCACAAGAAAACAGAGCAGTGGCTCTTAACCTGGGGTGAACGCATGCCCTGGGAGTGCGAGATGCCCTTTTTGGGGGTGCGAGACGTGCCAGATTTTTATAGGAGGTTAATCATCGGAACAAATTAAGAACGGGCACGTAAGTACAACTACTTTCTTTCATCAAACCTATGTAATTATTAACATTATACATGTGTTAACAATTGAGAACCAAAGGGGCAAGCCTGTAGTAAAGGTTAAGAACCACTGGTCTAGAGGCTGGACTTGAGCAGGGAAGTTCAGAATAGCGGGAAAGCCAAATTTAAGCTTTTTGAACTTTCTAGAACACAATTTTGAAAGTAAACCATTGACTCGGTCATAATTGCGTATATGTCTTAGATGTGTTTTTCCTTATTTAACAAACAGCTCATTCACTGAACATTCAGGATGTCCGACACATTTCCCATGGGGAAATTCGCAGTTATTTTTGTCGCTGCTATATTGTCCACGCGCGTGTCTCATTGCCAATATAATATCATTTCTGTTTCATGGCTTTATTTTTGTATCAGAATCTGAGTTATCGAGTGGTTCAGTGTCACATTTAGAACACTTGCGAGATCAAAATATCTTGTATTCACCACCCTCCCCTCCCCCTCCACTCCTGGAACACAATCGTCAAAAATGTAGGCTCCAGCCCAGGTTTGACCGGCTCTGAATTGAATTGTCATCTTGGCTGTGTCCGGCTATTGGTGTAAAATGCACCATTAACCTACAGTTAGAGCGTTTGTGCATACAGAACCCAATACTTATGGGAATTATTTGTGTAATGAGTATAAATAACATCCAGCATCCACTCCTTCCTCACTTCAGAGGATGGCTCGTCATCCTAAACGGTGATGCTTTTTTTGTTAATTAGCGTGCGCTAGTTGGACGTCGTTATTCACCAAAAATACTGTATATTTATGTTTTTTACTGTTCTCTACTATTCATGATGTACATATGTAATCGATTATTTAAGTACATTTGTTACAGATCTTCCTTTAGAAAGAGGCTTGGTCTCAATGGGCCTTCACCCAGTTTTACAGAGGTCATCTTTTTTACTTTTTAAAGCCCTTTGCCAGTCCACTGCTGGATGAAAGCCTCTCCATGCCATGTCAGTCATGGGATTTGTTTAACCATGCTGCCTGATGAGGGGGAGGGGCGACGCAGGGGTGAGGGGGGGGGATGCTGGAGGAGCCCAGGGCCAATTCAGATATCGCTCCCCATTCATGTTAGCCGTGGCCAGGAAGATAACTCGGGTAGGCATGTTCTTCACGCAACCCACTAGCCACCGTGAACCACCGCTCCACTCCATCTGTCAACTTCGTACGTAAAAAGTATGCATAGGTTTATGCTGTAGGCCTATTCCTGCTTAGTTTTTATTTAATTATTTTTCTATTTTACAAGCTTTGATCTGTTGTTGGTCCTGAGGCAGTGGTATGAATTTCATGTTATGCTGACAGGGCCCAGTTTCCCACAGCAGCCATTGCTGATTGCCCACTCATTGGTGCAGCAGTAGCAGCAGCAGCGGCAGCATCAGATGGCCCTCGCATTGTCCACCCTGGAAGCTGCACGAGGCGAATTGCCACAAAACGGGGTCCGAACCCTTACAATTATGATT